ATTGTAAATCAGTGTTTTAATTCAAAATGTTTGGACGTAAAACAATTAACAAGTTAAACAAGAGGGCCATGATGGCCCTGAGGTCGCTCACCTGTATATAGGCCTCCCCCCACCTCCCAACGTTGCAGGGCCAATTTAACCCAAGGGCTTTTATTTGCACAAACTTGGTAGACACCAATAAGAAGATGTTTCATGCTAAACATCTAAGCTCTAGCTCATTGGGCTTTTTAAAAGAAGATTTTTTTAAGTTTTTACTATACACATAAAGTTAAAAACAATGACACCCCTGGGGCCGGGCAAGTTTTGACCCCAAGGCTTTTATTTGAACAAACTTTGTAGACACTTACTAGGAGATGTTTCATGCTTAATATCTAAACTCTAGCTATTTGGGTTTTTTCAAAGAATATTTTAAGTTTTTGCTATACACATATAACGAAAATCAATGACCCCCCGGGGCGGGTCCAATGTTGACCCCAGGTCTTTTATTTGAACAAACTTTGTAGACACTCACTAAAAGATGTTTCATGCTTAATATCTTAACTCTAGCTATTTGGATTTTTTTCAAAGAAGATTTTTTAAGTTTTTGCTATACACATATAAGGAAAATCAATGACCCCCGGGGCGGTGCCAATTTTGACCCCAGGGCTTTTATTTGAACAAACTTGGTAGACACCTATTAGAACATGTTTGATGCTAAATATCTTAGCCATAGCTCTTCGAGTTCTTTAAAAGAAGATTTTTAAAGTTTTTACTTTATGCATATAGGGAAAATCAATGACCCCCGGGGCGGGGCCAATTTTGACCCCAGGGCTTTTATTTGAACAAACTTGGTAGACACTTATTAGAACATGTTTGATGCTAAATATCTTAGCTCTAACTCTTTTGGTTCTTTAAAAGAAGATTTTTTAAGTTTTTACTTTATGCATATAGGCAAAATCAATGACCCCCTGGGGCGGGGCCAATTTTGACCCCAGGGCTTTTATTTGAACAAACTTGGTAGACACCTATTAGAACATGTTTGATGCTCAATATCTTAGCCATAGCTCTTTGAGTTCTTTAAAAGAAGATTTTTAAAGTTTTTACTATATGCATATAGGGAAAATCAATGACCCCCCGGAGCGGGGCCAATTTTGACCCCAGGGCTTTTATTTGAACAAACTTGGTAGACACCCATTAGAACATGTTTCATGCTAAATATCTTAGCTCTAGCTCTTTGGGTTCTTTAAAAGAAGATTTTTTTAGTTTTTACTATATGCATATAGGAAAATCAATGACCCCTGGGGCGTGGCCAATTTTGACCCCAGGGCTTTTATTTGAACAAACTTGGTCGACACCCATTAGAACATGTTTCATGCTAAATATCTTAGCTTTAGCTCTTTGGGTTCTTTAAAAGAAGATTTTTTAAGTTTTTACTATATGCATATAGGGAAAATCAATGACCCCCCGGGGCGGGGCCAATTTTGACCCCAGGGCTTTTATTTGAACAAACTTGGTAGACACTCACTAGAAGATGTTTCATGCCAAATATCTAAGCTCTAGCTCTTATGGTTTTTTAAAAGAAGATATTTAAAGTTTTTTCTTTTGGTTGCCATGGCAACCAGAGTTCTGCATGGAATTAAATTCTTTGAACAATTTTTAAAGGTGACCACCAAAGGAACATTCCTGTGAAGTTTGGATGAAATTGGTTTAGTCGTTTATGAGGAGATGTCATTTAAAGTAAAAGTTTACGGACAGACGACGGACGGACGGACGCCGGACGAAAAGCGATCACAAAAGCTCACCCTGTCACTTTGTGACAGGTGAGCTAAAAAAAAAGAAGATTTACTGACAATAGATAGAAGCATTAAATACAAGTTTTCATTCAAAATGTTACAGCACCGAACAATCAATAGGAGTCTTTTATTCAATATGGACAATCATCCTATGAAGTTTGAATATTGTTGGCCAAATGGAACTTAAGTTATGCTCCAGAAACTGTTTTCAGTGTCAAAGTTATAGTGACCTTGACCTTTGACCTCAAAATCAATAGGGGTCTTCTACCCAATATGGACAATCATCCTATGAAGTTTGAATATTGTTGGCCAAATGGAACTTAAGTTATGCTCCGGAAACTGTTTTCAGTGTCAAAGTTATAGTGACCTTGACCTTTGACCTCAAAATCAATAGGGGTCTTCTATCCAATATGGACAATCATCCTATGAAGTTTGTTTATTGTGGGCCAAATGGAACTTAAGTTATGCTCCGGAAACTGTTTTCAGTGTTAGGTAATAGTGACCTTGACCTTTGACCTTGTGACCCCAAAATCAATAGGGGTCTTTTAACCAATATGGACAATCATCCTATGAAGTTTGAATATTTTGGGCTGAATGGAACTTAGGTCATGCTCTGGCAACCAAATTGCTAACGGACGGACGGACAGACGGAAGGATGTCATGGGGTGTAACATAATATGCCCGAAAAATTTTCGGGCATATATAAAAAGATTTACTGACAATAGATAGAAGCATTTAAATACAAGTTTTCATTCAAAATGTTACAGCAGAGAACATTTTACAAAATGAAAAAAGAATTATATTCTTACAGTCAAAAGCATTTAAACAAATTTACAGATATATAAATATAATTCTAACACATCTACAATTTTTCTAACATATGTACAGTATAAGTTAGTCTTCTACAATTGAAAATGTAATGGCATTTTACAGACTTTAAAAATTGACTGAAAAACTTGCAATGATGTTTTTGAAAAAAAAAAAAAAAAAAAAAACTACAACATTTAACTAGGTTTGATCAAACAGAACAAGAATATTTACTAACATTGGGCAGACTTGAAATTAAAAATAGGCTTTCTTACATGTTACAACACAAAACAGTTTTCAAAGTTTCATGAAAATCAAGGGTTGTTTAAATGTTTGATGAAATGCTACTAGCTTAATGTTTGGCCAACTAATATATAACCAAGAGTAAAAAATATTTAGTACCGCCTTATTGAATTCCCAGTGGTACATCAACAAAAAAGACTAAGCATTTTCTACTTATATAAGAAGCAATAATTATTTATTCTAACTAGAACTCCGCGAGTCGGATGTGTCGCCTTGTGAACAATGTAGTTTAGGGGAAATGGCCAGGACAAAAATGAAATATGAAAATTAACAAAGGGCAATAACTAAAAAAATAATAAGTGCAGAGCAGCAGTTTCTGTACACTGCACTTCTTATCAATAAGATCTATCATTCTATGATGTTTCAAGTCCATAGCTTTCATATTTGAGGAGAAATGACCAGGACAAAAATAAAGTAAGAAAATCAACAAAGGGCAATAACTCAAAAATAAGAAATGCAGAGTATCAGTTCTTATGCACTGCACTTCTTTTTAATGAGATCTATCATCCTATCAAGTTTCAAGTCCATAACTTTTATACTTTCAGAGAAATGGCCTGGACAAAAATTAAGTATGAAAATTAACAAAGGGCCATAACTCAAAAATTAAGAAATGCAGAGTACCGATTCTTGTGCACTGCACTTCTTAATAATGAGATCTATCATCCTATGAAGTTTCAAGTCCATAGCTTTTATACTTAAGTAGAAATGGCCCGGACAAAATTAAAGTATGTAAATAAACAAAGGGCAATAACTCAAAAAATAAGAAATGCAGAGTACCAGTTCTTGTGCACTGCACTTCTTCTTAATGAGACCTATCATCCTATGAAGTTTCAAGTCCATGGCTTTTATACATTAGGAGAAATGGCCTGGACAAAAATAAAGTATGAAAATTAACAAAGGGCAATAACTCAAAAATTAGGAAGTGCAGAGTACCGATTCTTGTGCACTGCACTTCTTAATAATGAGATCTATCATCCCATGAAGTTTAAAGTCCATAGCTTTTTTAGTTGAAGAGAAATGGCCCGGACAAAATTAAAGTATGAAAATTAACAAAGGGCAATAACTCAAAAAATAAGAACTGCAGGGTACCGGTCCTTGTGCACTGCACTTCGCGTTATTGAAAGAAGCATGCATACCAAGTTTGAAGTCAATCAGACTTATAGTGACTAAGTTATGCTCCGGACAAGCTTTAGGGGACGCCGACAACGACGCCGACAACGACACAGACGCCGACAACGACACAGACGCCGACACAGACGCCGCCGACACCGCCGACAAAAGTAACCCCTATATGTCACCTTTTCAAGGCGACACAAAAAGTACAAAACACACTTTTCTACACAAATATTACTCCGATGAAAATCCATGTCAACAATGTAAGCAATAAGGCACATATATCGCCGAAGATTAACAAGAGCGTGAAAATCGGAGACTCAATATGTGAAATATGAAGACTTTGCAATAAATAGTAACCAAGATAATAAGTGGAAATCATATAACTATTCAAGGCCCCTGTGACCTTGACATTTTACTTAGTGACCCAAAAATCAATAGGGGTCATCTACTAGTTACAACCAATTAATATGTGATATATGAAGACTTTGTGATGAATTGTAACAAAGATAATGAGCAGAAGCCTTTCTGACATTTGAGGCCCCTGTGACCTTGACCTTTGAAGTAATGACCCAAAAATCAATAGGGGTCATCTACTAGTTATGACCAATCAATATGTGAAATATGAAGACTATGTGATGAATTCTTTTCAAGATAATCAGCAGAAACCCTTCTGACATGTAAGGCCTCTATGACCTTGACCTTTGACCTAGTGACTTCAAAATCAATAGAAGTCATCTACTGTAACGACCAATCACTATGTGATGTACGACGACTTTGTGATGAATACTTTACAAGATAATCAGCGACAACCATTTTGACATTTAAGGCCCCTGTGACCTTGACCCCAAAAACGATAGGGGTCATCTACTTGATATGACCAATTAATATGTGAAATATGAAGACTTTGTGATGAATTATTTTCAAGATAATCAGCGGAAACCATTCTGACATTTAAGGCTCCTGTGACCTTGGCCTTTGACCTAGTGACCCCAAAATCAATAGCAAAACAATATACCCCCTCTCCTTCAAAGGGGGCATAAAAATTCAACACCATTTTTTCTCCCCAATGAGATATATCCATCTATAATGTATTAAGTTTCACTAACATGTAGATATCTCCTTTTGGTGGATGGATAGATGGACATTCCGACCCATTTACTTAGTTGTTAAAATGTTATGAAAACATAATGATTCCTGGTGTTTTACTGCATACTATTGTTTGTTCATTCAACATGTTAAACATGCACTTTTTGCACTAAAATTGCACCTTTCAACATCTCTCTTTAAAGCCACATAGATATTGTTAACAAACAATATTCAACAACCATCTTCAGTATCAAATGGAAATTTCAACAAAACTTATGCAAAGTTTAAGCACATGTTCCATCCAAACATGTTTCTGTTCCTCTAAGATGAATAGGGAAACTCTTCTTAACAACAATATCTGAAAATAAACAAAAAAAACTATTTTACTTTTTTTATATTTCACAATTTGATGAATACAGTACTTCATATGATAATTCTTAAATCAATTTAAATTCTGTGACATTGATTAAGATATGCAATTGCCTTTAAAAGACAGACATTTATTTAGAGGCCAAATTATTCAACAAATTTACTAACTAAACTTAAGAATAATAATTATTTATGTCTACAATTGCATATTAACTATAGTCCATATAAAAGTTTATATTGCATCATTATTTTTTGTGTAAGTTTAAGGTGAAAGACAAGAATCATTCACAAATTTCTTTATAGGGCCAAGCTATTTTTACGTAACAAAATATATGCTCTCTCTAGAGGTGATATATAAAAGAGTAATTGATCTTTAAATTTCCTCAAGACAAGAGGACTGTGATGACTATAGAGTTTCACATGGTTGATGAACAAAACAGGCAAAGAGAATTGTATTTGGTAAAGTACTGTCTAAAGTATCATTTTTAGCACATTTTGTAGATATTGTACAAGTACTTACTTAATTTAACTGTAACCAGTATATCTAGTTGTTGAAGGTAACCACTTTTATCCAAGATATGACCTGAAATAATGTTAATATTTACATTATAACAATTAACAAAATGCATATTTAATGTTGGTCGCAAAGAAATTGAGGGTAGAACTGGGAAAATATGTCCTGCAACCAATATCAATGATATTTGGAATTAATACTTTCAATTCAAGGTGAACAGAGTTCAGAGTAGAGCAGGACAATGGGTGGTGCTTTGGCTTAGATAAGACTTAACGTTGACTTCAAATCACATTGCAATTCCAAACGGTTTCATGTGAGGAAACTTCAATAAATCAGAAGCATCTACAGAATGTTGGTTTATCGACTCAGGTACGTTGCTGATGCCGCTGTACATTAGGTAGAACTGAATACAGGAGTTTATTTCACATGCTAGGACTTTGATCGAGGGACTTAAGAATAGCATGCAATACATCATCTTATATCTACTAATGGTAGCTGCATTAACCAATTCATTTTGAATTCCTATCATTCATGCAGAAGTTAAAACCCTAAAATCCCTTTAACACCACAACAACTTTGTACTCAATAATCAATTCACTTACATTTTCTTCTTTTGATTAGTTTGTAATCACCAGTCTCCTCCATCACATATCTATTTTGCTTGGCTCAGTTTACAGGCTTGGACCCTGAAATTTTAAGCAACTATTTTTTAACTGTTGTACCATTACAAACATATTCAATTGTGACTTTGTTATAGTATTTTTTAGGAAAATAATAAGGGTAAATAAATACAGATAAATGCTAAACCTGCTAAATTTCTGAAAAAGACATTGTCTAGCTTCCATTTATAAAACTTTCATTATCAATTTGGGTCAGCTAACAATAAAGCCTGGCTCTTTACTGGTAGTAAAGGTGGCAGTGACCTTCGATTCCTGCTGGCCAGCAGGTTGCTATGAAAGTCAATGGTACTGGTTACTATAGAAAAATCAAATTTTGCTATGGAAGTCAATGGTTCTTATGGAAAGTCTGTAACTGATATGAAAAGAAAAGAAAAGTCAACAGTTGCTATGGAAAGATAAAGATTGCTTAAATTGGAAGATAAGACACTGGTTGCTATGGATTCCACTGGTTACTAAGAATTAAGTTGATGCTGGTAGAGATCATAGGTACAATGTATGTACTTAAGAAATTTATTTCAATGGTTATGGAACTTCCAGGAAATTACTGGTTATTAAGGGAAGTAAATTTCCTCATGGAAAGTCATGGTTGCTATGGCAGTCTCCAACTGGTATGAAATATCACTAGTTGCTATGGAAAGTAAATGGTTGCTATGGGAGTCATTGGTTGCTTTGTAAAGTCACAGATTGCTATGGCTGTCACTGATTGCAATGAAAAGTCACTGGTCCCAGTGTCATCATTTCCCCCCCCCCCCCCCCCTCTATTTTCTTAATGGTGCCAGTACCAAACAAATTGGGAAAAAATGTACATTTGTATCGCATGCACTCAAATTGAGAATTTAACATAATATGTACCAAGCATTCATGGGGAATTTTCTAATCCAGGGAGACATTAGTATTATGCATAATATACACTTATAAACCATGTTTTACAAAAAATAAGACACTTAACTCGAATGAGTTGTTTTCCTATTTGAATATTAGAAAACTCAGAGTACATAAATTATATAAATGTTCAGGAGTAAACAATATACTGGGTACGAATATGGCAATATGGGTCATGTGGTTAGACTTGTTTTTTCATCACATATCACTTAACAATATGGAAAAGCTCAGCCATTACTGATTTTTTTTACCTTTCAATTTACGAATTCTTGCAGGGAATTTTCAACTTTGACACTAAGGGCAAAAAATTTCTAAGCAATTAAACTAGCTGTTACAGTTTCCACATAAGCTTGATATTCTAACTACATGTTTTTTGTATTACTCAGAATATATGCTTTATATTATAGTGTAATAGAATTTATGTCAAGCCAGTAAAATTTTCTATGTCAATTGGCATCCATTAGGACCATTAGGGCACAGTCAGACATACATGTGTACAATGTATTTGAAAAAAAATGGCAGCTTTAATTAACCCATTACAAGATATATACACCTTTCTATTCTAAGCCCCCCCCCCCCCCTTTGTTGTCTCAAATAGTGAAAAAAATGCCTTATTTAGGGCCCAAACACTTGTTTTGTTTGAGAAATACTGTTTCGGCGCCAACCCCCCCTTCCCCCTCCCCCCGATCCAAAAGATACATCAGGGGGTTGCCAGAAGGGGGTATGTGCCCCCTTCTGTTTGGGGGTTTTGATCGAGGGTGGCAGTCCCCATCATCACTTTATTTTCTGAACATAATTTGGACAATTTTAGCAATTTTAGTACACATCAACCTCATTATTTGCAATTAAATAATCAATTTAAATAGCAAAAAGTAATCGTTCATTTATATAATTATTTATTTTTTATCAAAATTTTGGTTGAATAAACTTGTGACAACAGTGGTCTGTGTAGCAATTAGCATAGGACTCATTAGGAGATTGAGATTTCAATTAATTGAGTTTTGGGATGAATTTAATTTAACAAATTAGGCTGTATCATATTGAGCTGTTGTTCATCCTCTATCAAGTTTAACCATTTTCCACTTTTAAAGTGAAACATTTTTGGGGTGATAAATCTGGATCTGGGAGTAATCATTAGAAATCTATAATTGTGAGGCACATTTTATAAATAAATAAACTACATGTATCAAAAGTGTATAAAGCTAATATGTCATTATGAGTCTGAAGGTTATCTAAAACATTATTGTTACAATTAAAACAAAATCTAAAACACCTGAATGAAAGGTCAATATCTGTGTATGGTTGGGGACAACTAAAACCAGACTACTAGTCTAGTCAATATACCCTAATTTGGGGGTCAACCTAGAACTACTGGTATACTAGCATAGTCAGAGCAAGTTTTAAAACGGAAAAAATCATTACATAAAACCGATTTTATCTTTTTAATTGCAAACGCAACATTTCGGAACTTTTTATGGTATAAAGCACTTATTTAGATTCTTTAAGTTCTTCCGTGAGGTGTTGATAAGAATTCTTTTGCAATTAGTTCTAGGTGTATTGCCTATACAACCAAACCCAGACAGCCCTGAATTAGTTTGATTTAGTTTTTTTTTTCTTTTTTCAGGTAGTTGATCTAATATCAGTTGCTTATTTTATCAACAATAAATGCATGTTTCTTTTATAATTAATAAATCTATTTCAACTTTCATAAACGGTAATCTTCTTATGTCCAGGGCAGTCATTGAATTTATGGTTTTGAATTTACTGGCCCGAATTCTAGATTTGAATTTATCCTACTTTATATTTAACTACATTTTCTCTAATATTTACACTCAGACTGGCCCTAACAAATTTTCACTGGCCATGGGCCTGACCTGGCCAGTGCTAAATTCGATGACTGCCAGGGATCAAAAAGTCCACTTGTCTGCTGGTATTTACGAGTAGGACTGAGGCAGGAGCTTGTCCGGAACTTGACGGGTGGAAATTTGCCAATGTGCTAGACCACTTGAATTCTCATTTATAATCTATTTGTTTACATTTAACAATTGAAAACCAGAAACAAAGCTTGTGTTTTAGGTTATGTATAAATTTTGCACTTTATAAAGCTCTGTAATGTTAATTCTAAATTGGTTTAATACAATGTGCGACCTACATGTGCCTGACAATGTTCTATTGAACTTAAATTTGAAAATTTTATAAAATGTGCGGGTAAATTCCATTTTCAATGATAGGAATTTGATTTCATATTAACCCACGGTAGCATAGTATGCAGGACGAGAAGAAATTTGAAGCAACTCTGAAAATTGTTTTTGATCCCAGGCCCTGTGTGTTCACAAAGATTTTAGGATCAGGGTCAAGATCAAAATCATTTAATTCAAGAACTCAAATATTTTCCATTGTTTATCCACATAGATTAGATACGGTTACACGACTTACCGGAATCGGCCGAATTACCGGAATCAACCGGAATCGGCGGTGAATTACCGGAATCGACCTGTAACTTTGTAATTATTAAACTTTTTAATTTTTTTCTTGCAATTTTATAAAATATAAACAATATCAATGATTTATGAAAAAGATTTTTATAAATAAAATCGCTTTTGATTAATTTAACAAGAGATCAAATATCGGCGAGCTACTGCCAAACTGCCCGTGACCGGAATCGGCCTGCTATTTCGTTGTTTATGCAACTTTTAATGTTCCTTTTGCATGTTTTTATAAAACCTAAATATTATCATTAATCTTCCTAGAGATTGTGAAAAAAATCGATTTTAAATAATAATAATAAACAAATATTTATCATCAGCGAAAACGGGCAAACTGCCGGAATCGGCGAAGGATTACCGAAATCGGCCTGTAATTTGCTTATCTTTAAACTTTTAACAAAATTTTTGCACCCTTGATTAAAAATAAACCATAGCAATGATATGTAATCAGATTATTGTCAATTAAATCACTTTTTATTAATTAAACAAGATATTTAATATCGGCGAGTTACTGCCATACTGTCGGAATCGGCGAAGGATTACCGGAATCGACGTATAATTTAGTCTATTGTACTTTTTAACGTTTCTGTTGCATTGTTAATATTCGTCTTATAAAATATAAATATTATGAATGATATTTAAAAGTTTTTTTCTTTCCTTATTTTGTAAATTTCAATTCGCCTTTGGTTAATAACGCAAGAGATCAAAGATAGGCGAGTTACATATACTGTCATACTGCCGAAATAGGCGAATGATTACCGGAATCGGCCTGTATTATTGTAATTTATGGACTTTGCAAGAAAAAAATGCAGACAATATAATTGATATCTAAAAAGATTTCTGAAAATGAAGAATCATTATTAAATAATAAACTAGAGATCTAAGGTCGTCGAATTACTGCCATATCGCATATATGCAGTGCCAGGGCTATCGGACAATTACCGGAATCGGTCTGTTTTCCCCACCAATATTTCAACGTTTAAAAAATACCTTGAATCATTTTATTAAATACAAACAATTTAAACGATTTTTATAATGTTTATTGAAATCTGTATTAAATAAGAAGCAAAAGATTTATGAAAAATCGCTGTTATAAATATGATAAAAAGATTAGTATTGAAGATCGGGGAAAAACAGGAAACCTGTCGGAATAGGCGATGGATTACCGGAATCGACCTGTAATTTGGTTATTTGTGAACTTTTTAAAATTTCTTGTGCATGTTTTTTATAAGATATAAACATTTTCAACGATATTCATTTTTGTAAATAAATTCGCTTTTGATTAATAAAACAAGAGACCTAAGATCGGCGAATTACTGTCATACTGCCGATATAGGGGAAGGATGGGCGGAATCAGCAGGTGTAATATAGTTATTTTTATGTTATTTCATTGAATGCAAATAATATCATTGATATACAAATTTTTTTTAGAAATAAAGATCACTTTTTTACTATAAACTAGATATCTAAGATAGGCTAATTACTATCACAGTGCCTGAATTAACAGGGAAATACCGGAATTAGTCTGCTATTTTGTTATATTTCAGCGTTTTAAAAATATCTTGCCATATTTTATTAAATACAAACAATTCAAATGATATTTAATAATATTTATTGTAATCTCTATTACATAATAAACAAGGTGATCTATGATTTCTTCCATGCTACCGAATCGACGAGCGATTACCGGAATCGGCTTCACTTCGTCTGGATTACTGGAATCGGTTCTAATTTTGTTATGAATGTGAACTCAATATTATTATTATCATTTATTTTTGCATGTATTTACAAACATAATCATTGATCGTTTATGGAATAATGCAATATCGTCTTTACATTATATTTTTCAGGACATTGCTAACAGAGGAGTGTTTGAAATGACGGATAACAATAGGTCAGTTTAGTCTTTCTTTATGTTTGCATAACTCAATTCTTTATTTCATAAAGTAGTAGATTTATAATTACATGCAATAATTTTTATTTAAATCTTTATTTAAACAAAACAAACCTCATAAAAATATTCGCATGAAATCAATGTTTTACCAGGCAGTTAAATCGTACTTACTCGACAGTTCAAGGTCATTCTGGATATCAAATCAATTGTCGTCATTTGCGTTATTGGTGCTTTTTTATAGTTTCACCATAAAAATATTACAAAGATTGCGAATTAGTCAATCGTTGAACTTGAAACATAGATTCTTTAGTCTTAAATAGTAAACAAATCATCTATACCCGTAACGTATAAAACAGTGAGATATGGATGTTAACTATATACGCACAGATGTTACTGTCACAACGAGCTGTGTATTGGGAGCTGTGTATTGGGAAGTGTGATATACTACAAAACAGTGGGGTGCCAATATAC